CACCCACAAATTTCACAACGAGAGCTGTTAATTACTATGAAAAAACATTATTCCACTAAGTGAAAGTCCATAACTCACAGGTGTGCAATGCTCCACGCTTCATGCAATGTATGTTATTTGCCATGTATGCAAGCACTTGATTTATAAATCTGTGGAAAAAATCTGTATTTGCAATTACAGCTCTTTTGAGGAAAACATGGGGGCTCTTAAAAGAGCCGTTTAGGTTATAGTTTAAAACCGTTTACTTGGAGCTGGTGTACTTGGTGACGGCCTTGGTGCCCTCGGAGACGGCGTGCTTGGCCAGCTCACCGGGCAGCAGGAGCCGCACGGCCGTCTGGATCTCCCGCGAGGTGATGGTGGAGCGCTTGTTGTAGTGCGCCAGGCGCGAGGCCTCGCCGGCGATGCGCTCGAAGATGTCGTTGACGAAGGAGTTCATGATGCCCATGGCCTTGGGCAAGATGCCCGTGTCGGGGTGCACCTGCTTCAGCACCTTGTACACGTAGATCGAGTAGCTCTCCTTCCTTGTTCTCTTGCGTTTCTTGTCGCCCTTCTTCTGCGTCTTGGTGACAGCTTTCTTAGAGCCCTTCTTTGGTGCTGGAGCAGATTTCGCCGGCTCAGGCATCCTAAGAAGTTTCTTTCCAAAATCTTCACAGTACCTCAACAACATGGAAAATGGCGCCTGCTCCCCTATTTATAAGGGCGTTATGCAAATTAGAGGATTGCAATCGTTCCATTCCTATTGGAGTAAAAAATACCAACGTAATTACAGGCACTTCCGTCCTGTAACCGTCACATCTTAGGCGCTGCATCTACACAATCGTTGTGCTTTGCAGTTATGGTGATGGCAGTACTGCCTTCACTAGCGAAAAAAAATTAAACTTAAATACATAATAAAATTTGCACTGAGTTTACACTCGCTAATGAATTTATTTAAAATGTCTGATCTTAGTACATGGGGTATTTTGCGGCATTCATTTTTTCTCAGGACGTTTACAGAGGAGTTATACTTTGTGGCAGCTTTTAAATTGTAAATCTGTTAATGACTCAAAAGGGTTTTAACGTTATAGCTGCATTAAAAACTTTAAAAACTCAGAATTCAGCAATAAACAGCTCTCGTTGTGAAATTTGTGGGTG